ATCTGAGTTCGTTGTGGCAAAAACAATGCTGACGATTTTTACGCACACAACTGACGGATGAGAAAATAAAATTTACGACTTGAAAACATAAATCATGTTGAAAAAAGTAGGCTGTAGCTTGTTTATACTTTGACTGAACCCAATTTATCTTTATGTACAATTCTCTGCTTCCTTTTGTTAAAATAATTAGATTATAACATAATTTTATATTTAGGTACAAAGTCCAATTTTCCTTTGTTAATGTATACAATAAGTAACTAACATCAATTATTCTTTACAAATTCTTCAAATAATAAAACATGGATCTTAAAGGGACTGTCAACACATTTCTCTGTAGACCCTCCATTATAAAATTGGTCTCTTTAAACCTTTATCCGAGTAACAAGATTATCTTGAAAAATGATCAATTCTGTCAATTTCCTTTCTGGTCTCTGCAGGATAGAAAATTAGCCGAAATTTAAAAAAATTCCATTTTTAGTTTCAAAACAAGGATATCTCGTCAATATATTTCAGACAAAGATTTAAATCGTATTGTTAAACAAATAGGTTTTAATCAATTTGGATGAAACCTTTAATTTGACATATTGCATTATTGGTCTGGATAAAAGTAGATTGTACTTTGGGAATTGAACCCTATACTATTTCTATGTTTGGGGTCACGTAGTACAGATAAATCAATATATCATGAAATCTGATTAGGCAGGGTATAAATATCACATTAATAAAATTATATAATAGGTGTACATGAGTTAGGCAGGGTATAACATTGCATGAATAAAGTTATATATTAGGTGTACATGACTACGAGCAGAATCAGGTGTAATATACAGAGCGTCCCATATCATATAAGATTATCTCAAAGCTTATAACGCCAAAATTCTCACATAAAACTCTAAAACCTGGTATTTATCCTAAAAAATTTATGTATAAGCCATATGCATTTTTTAAAATGATTCATTCTTTTTTAATTTTCAGATTAGTCCCTTAAAGGGTGTGTTGCGAAAAATGAAAGGGGGTATAGGTATAGGTATAGGCTTACGGCGAAAAATAATCACTTTTGATCGCTACTAATCTTACTTCTATCTGTTGCTTCTATAAGGAGAAAATTGTTTAAAACGACTTATTCTGAAGAACACGTAGCGTCTATACAAATTTAGAAGTTAAAACATGCGACTCATATCGTAAAATAATCAATTTAATTACAAACAATTCATTCAGATATCGCAACCTAAAGTCATCGATTATTTTTGACGCATTCGTATATGCCACGTGGATTTAACAGTTCTGTCAATATTTCAGAAAACTGCATGTGACTTTCGATCACAATTTGACTCCTTTTACATAATTTTATAGCCTTTTAACATAAATATTTTTTTTGTTGGCATATACATTTTGAATAGAAAAGTATAAAACAAACAAATCTGTAAGTCTAAAGTCTGTTGAGTTATAGACGAAAACACATTTGATTTCAAATAAAAGAAACCGAATGCTTCTCTCTCTGGTTAGTTCGGGGCGATGCGGCCAAATATTTGCAGGGGCACGTTGATTAGGACTAATTAAAATAAACAAACCATACTGACGTTCACATCCCATTCATTGTAAATACGTTTTTTAACGATAAGCGTCTAACGATTATCAGTCCCTTTAAGCATGTGAATTCGACCCTTTAATGGAGCTCCTGGTTCTTCAAATAATACACTGAAGAGTTCACAGTTGTAGAAAATATTAAATTATTGAAGACTATTTCTAATATTTAGCTATATATCAACCCTTCCCATACAATCATTAGCCTAAATACAATCAATAGTAAACAAATATAAAGGAATTGGGGTTATCTATATATATTTGACAGACACTGTTTGTTTGTTTGTATCCAGTAATTGTTAAAAAGGCCCCATCTTTTTGTGGCCACTTTTAAATCTGAAATTGAAAAAATTACCCAGGAAGAAAAATATGTAGATTTTATAAATCCATCATTGTTAATATAAAAATGGAGTATTACAATTCCGAAAAAAAGAGAATAGTTAAACAAAATATAAACCCTAAAATTGTTACTAGAATGAAAAAGCGAAGCGCCCTAGTCTACATTTTTGGCTCATCTGTTTATGGCCGGCCAAGATTGATAAATTTTGCCTCGAAAAAAATGTCGACTTTTACAATTTTAAAAATCCATCAAATAAATCAGAAAAAACTACACAAACCTTTTTGATTTTATTGAGTACGATGACAAAATGGCTGATTCAAAATCAACAGTTAAAACTAAAATTGTTACTAGAAAAGGGACGTCATTGTGCAGCGCCCTTAAAAGCATAGTGAAAATTTTTTACCCCCCCCCCCCCCCCCTCCCAAGGAGAAATTGAGTTTAAGGTGCATATTTTGTTTAATTTTTGCACATTTTGTATTGACGAGGCAGCTTTTTAAGTCCTACCTTTTCAATTACCGTACCATACTTACTTATGATATTTTTAAGCCCTGAGTTGGAAGTTTTTAAAGTAACAAAACGCTTTTTTTCTAGCTTCAGACTCATTATATAATTAGTTGTACTGTAGTAAACACCTATACTGCATAACAATTTCTGAAGAAGCATCTATCCAGGTTCAATCCGTCTGCTTTCAAAGCCAAACAGGACACAATCCACATGGCTGCAATCCCGTGACTAATCAACGGCACCACACAGGGCGCGATCTTGCTAGCTATCGATGTCAATACAGACACTAGCAATCAATTGATCAATGTCTCAACCAGTTAGTTAACAATCCAATATGGGTATGACGGAGTTATATATTATCTACGTTCATGGAATGGGTTAATCGCAATACAGGATTTGCGTAATTTCTATATGAGCAAGGTACGATGTAAATTACAATAGGCCTCAATTTTGCTACAGTACTACATAGAAAGAATATGAACTGTATTGTGCAAAACAAGTAAAAGATGAAAAAAGAAAATAGAAACGGGGAACTGTATTTGCAATAATCTTCATACAGTAAACCCAACACTAGAAACTGTATGCTTAAACTTTAGAATAATACTAGACCAAGGAGTTACTTCATTTACTTCATTCTATTCTATTCAACTTATAATATCTATTTAACTTAGAATTTAAAGGGACTGACAACGAAATGTTTACTGTGGTATCATTTAATTAAGGACTTTTACAGTGAGAACCAGAAAACTTTGGAATTAGAGGACTACATGAAAGTAATGATTAACTGTATTTGATGTTGTTGAAAAACAAATAGTTTCACTATTGTAACTTATTAGATTAGATTAGATTAGTTAAATGGGTTCTGTTTACACTGCACTGCAATAGCTGTGTCCACGTTCATTCGACCATTTAAACGTCCTTGCGAGCAGTGCCACTGGAAACATCAAGTTCACTCCTTTTTATATATTCCAAAAAGTCATATTATCAAGTTTACTCCTTTTTATATACTCCAAAAAGTCATATTATCAAGTTTACTCCTTTTTATATACTTCAAGAAGACATATTATCAAGTTTACTCCTTTTTATATACTCCAAAAAGTCATATTATCAAGTTTACTCCTTTTTATATACTCCAAAAAGTCATATTATCAAGTTTACTCCTTTTTATATACTCCAAGAAGGCATATTATCAAGTTTACTCCTTTTTATATACTCCACGAAGGCATATTATCAAGTTTACTCCTTTTTTATATACTGCAAGAAGGCATATTATCAAGTTTACTCTTTTTAATATACTCCAAAAAGTCATATTATCAAGTTCACTCCTTTTTATATACTCCAAAATGTCATATTATCAAGTTCACTCCTTTTTATATATACTCCAAGAAGTCATATTATCAAGTTTATTCCTTTTTATATACTTCGAAATGTCATATTATCAAGTTTGCTCCTTTTTATATACTCCAATACTTTTTATATACTCCAAGAAGACATATTATCAAGTTTACTCCTTTTTATATACTCCAAGAAGGCATATTATCAAGTTTACTCCTTTTTATATACTGCAAGAAGTCATATTATCAAGTTTACTCCTTTTTATATACTCCAAGAAGACATATTATAAAGTTCACTCCTTTTTATATATACTCCAAGAAGTCATATTATCAAGTTTATTCCTTTTTACATACTTCGAAATGTCATATTATCAGGTTTGCTCCTTTTTATATACTCCAATACTATTTATATACTCCAAGAAGACATATTATCAAGTTCACTCCTTTTTATATACTCCAAGAAGTCATATTATCAAGTTTACTCCTTTTTATATACTCCAAGAAGGCATATTATCAAGTTTACTCAAGGGTACGCTTAGAGATAAATATCTCACTTATTTACACTTTGTTTGATAATACGTGATAATATATTTCTGTATTACTTCTATCCCCAAGGAAAATTCTGGAATTTTGAAATATGGGTTATATAAGTGTTTCCTTAATAAAATATTTTGATTTGTTGTCTATGACTGTAATTTTTTTCAGCTAGAAAAATAAGAATTTCTCAGTCCTCCATGAACTGACTTTATTTTCAAAACAGCTCTAAAAATGATAATCAATGGTTTGAAAGTTTAATTATAGTGTTTTATTGTTCATATCGGATATAGCAAGATTAACTATTATGATCTCTTTAAATGATTAAAAAAAACTCTACTTTCTACTTTTAAGCTTAACACATTTACAGTTTGATGTAGGCCCGTTCACACAATTTTCATAATATTGCATAATATTAGGAGAATCTTTGTGAAGAACTTATACACTTATCTTATTATTTTATTGTTTTACTAATTAAGGGGTCAAAGAAATCCAACCGATTCTGTACCCTCTACCTTAGTACCCAATTTTCCTACACCCCCCCCCCCCCCATCTGTGCCAAGATACCTTCCTTAGGCTTATCTCATGAAACCCCCTGTCCGGTTAATAGATTGAACTAGGCCGAGCTCGGAGAGGCGCAGCCTCTGTCAAATCCGCGAAGCATGAGAAGAAAATATCCGGGAAATGAGGCCGGGGGATCCGGGTACAAACACTCCTCGAGGATTCAATCTCGGTAAACTTGAATCAAGGAAACCATGAGATCCATGAGTACTGCCGCCAGTTTACGTACAGAAACCAGTTCTACAGCAACAGATAACAGGACTCCGGACAAATAGACTTATTTTAGAAATCCTGAGTTGGTAATATTTGCAGGGGCGTATTCAGGAATTTGTTCAGGGAGGCTTAATTTTTTTTCTTTTCATGGGGGGCTTAGCACCCGTTGGGTCCTGGAAATTAATAGATTTAACTGGTCCATGTTTTAGCCTTTTCAACTGAAAATTCCATAAAAAAATGTTGATTTAATATTATTAACTATATTAAGGTAAATACAAAAATGTTTTTTCAAATTAAAGGGACTGTAAACGTAATTCTAAGTGACCCTTTATGCAAAGATAGTAATGTCCGATTTACAACGCTAACCTTGAAACCTTAATCTGATCAAAAATATGGAAGATATTGTCGTTTTCCTGAAAAGTGTTTTTGTTTAATTTCTCCATTGCTTCTTAGAAACAGTAAATGCGCAAGTAATTTTCGCAGAGAAACAACAAATAAAAATAAACAGTTTAAGGAAAGAAAAACCTCTAGGTCATACTTGATCAGACAAATCTTTTAGAGGTACCGTATCTTTACTTGGAGGGTCACTTGAAATTACGCTTACAGTCCCTATAAAAAATATTAAATAAGAATTGAACCAAGTTTTCTTCTTGGTTTTCTTTTACTTTTCAACTTCTTGGTTTTAGTTGGATTTCCCCGAATTTTCTGATGTTGTTTTTATTAGTTTAGGAAAAGCCTAGGGCGGGTTGCAAGTAAAAGAGCAGTTTAGTCTCAGCTTATATATTTGAAAACAAAAATTTAAAAAATAATTTAGTTTTTCTTGTAGTTTATATCGACGTTTTAAAACTTCTGGAGTTTTGCAGATTTAAAAAGTTTTATTTCTACAATATCAGCACTTTCTAATATTTTACGTTCTTCGATCAATGCTCGATTAGAAAAGTGAATATGAGAGTCTATACGAAAAAAATTGCTACATTAAATCAAAACTATTTCACTAACTTGATAAAGCCTAAAAACCGTGAACTTTTTGAACCAAAAAATATTGAAATCTTGAATAAAAAAGGAGTGGTAATATGATGCTGAAAAATGAAAGAAATTGTTACTATGTTTTTATGTAAGTTAATTTAAACGATGTTTTTGTTTATTCAAAACTATCAGAAAGGGATTATCTAACCAAACCTAAGCCATGACCCTTTTTCTAATTTGCCTCAAATTTTGATTGGGGTACTCGTTAGAACCACGGGAGTGTACATAGCTTAGTTTAAAAATTATAAATTGGATTGAATTTTTTAGAGGAAGTAAAGTTTCCAGACCGAGCTGGGTTCCCAAAGGTAGTAGATAAATAAAAAAGATACTTTTAACTTTAAAATTTTACCATAAAACGTATAGGGTTTGTGCTCTATAAGAGTTTGACACATGATAGAAAAAGAATTGTATTGCTCATTTGATTTAAAAGTTCAGAGGTCAGAACTTGTAAATAAAATAACGGGATTAGTTTAAATGTTGATCGAGCTTAGTGGGCCGTTTCACACTAAAGTGTTGACTCAAAGTTTGAAAGGCAATCTATAGAGCTTTGTTGGGATAATTCTAAACAGTATTGACTCTAATTAAACCCAAAGGTACATTACGTTTTTATTATGGTTTTTCTAAACAAATTTTGTGCTTGACTGATGGACGAAGGGAACACTAAGTTCCACGTGCGGTGCTTTTAAATTGTTGTTGTTTAAAAAGTTTAATCTCAAAGGAGTTTTTTATGAGAGCTAGGCAATGCTATTAGTTTTATTTAATCTAGAAGGATATAATCTGAATGTTCGGAACGGAAATTATTTTAAATCATTGTAAATTTTGCGGCCCCATCGTATTTAGATTAAAATTGATAAATGAGAATGTGTATAGCTCTGCTAGTATATTCATGATTTACATTTCCTAGATTTGTCTGATTGATCAAAAACAAATTAATTTGTTAGAAAATTACGTTGGATTAACCACCTTCTCTGGTACACATAAGCATTACTATATATATATTAGCCAATAAGAATTATTTTTAGCAATAAAACATCTACATATTAATACTACATTGTGAAACAGATTGTATCGTGGAAGAGATCGTATTGTAAAATAGATTGTATCGTGGAAGAGATTGTACTGTAAAACAGATTGTATCGTGGAAGAGATTTTATTTATTGTAAAATAGATTGTATCGTGGAAGAGATTGTATTGTAAAATAGATTGTATTGTAAAATAGATTGTATCGTGGAAGAGATTGTATTGTAAAATAGATTGCATTGTGGAAGAAATTGTATTGTAAAATAGATTGTATCGTGGAAGAGATTGTATTTATTGTAAAATAGATTGTGTTGTGGAAGAGATTGTATTGTAAAACAGACTGTATCGTGGAAGAGATTTTATTTATTGTAAAATAGATTGTATCATGGAATAGATTGTATTGTGAAATAGATTGTACCGTGGAAAAGATTGTATTTATTGTAAAATAGATTCTATCGTGGAAGAGATTGTATTGTAAAATAGATTGTATCGTGGAAGAGATTGTATCGTGGAAGAGATTGTATTGAGAAGTGGAACAGATTTTTTGTGGAAAAGATTGCAATGCGAAACAGATTTTATAGCGAACCAGATTGTAATGTTCAACAGATTGTATTACGGAACAGATTTTATTCTGGAATTGTATTCTGGAACAGATTGTATTCTGGAACTGAATGTATTGCGGAACAAATTGTATTGTGGAACTGATTGTATTCTGGAACAGATTTAATTCTGGAACAGATTGTATTGGGAAACTGATTGCACTGTGGAACAAAGTTTATTCTGGAACAGATTGTATATATCGGAACAGATTGTATTTTTGGACATATTTTATTCTGGAACAGATTGTATTGCAGAACAGATTGTATTGCCGAACAGATTGTATTGCCGAACAGATTGTATTGCCGAACTGATTGCACTGTGGAACAATTTTTGTTCTGGAACTGATTGTATTCTGGAACAGATTGCATTCTGGAACAGATTGTATTGCGGAACAGATTGTATTGCGGAACAGATTGGATTGCGGAACAGATTGTATTGCGGAACAGATTGGATTGCGGAACAGATTGTATTGTGAAACTGATTGCATTGTGGAACAAATTTTAATCTGAAACAGGTTGTATAGTGGAACAGATTGTATTCTGGAACAAATTTTATTCTGGAACAGATTTTATTATGGAACAGATTTTATTCTGGAACAGATTGTATTCTGGAACAGATTTTGTTCTGGAACAGATTTTATTCTGGAACAGATTGTATTGGATTTTATTTTAGATCAGAAATTATTTTTTAATAATGCGGAATAGAAAGTATTTTTTTGGGGGGGGGAGGAGGGGGGTTCAAAATATTCATTTCAAATTTTCAACAAAGAAGGAATAGATACGGAAATTTTAATAAACACAAGAAATTCAACTTATTCCCTCCTCTCATGGTCTCCTTGGTGAAAAATGTTTATTTAAAAATATTTTTGAGCTTTGCATATTCATTCCTGATTACCGAACTTGATTAATCTCTTAGGTTTTTTCGAAGGAAAATATAAAACGAAAAAAACTGGAAATATCTTTTTTAGAATTTGTTTAAGTAATGAAAAATATTGAATTTTCCCACATTCTAAGATTTATTTTACCTGACTTACCTCATTTATCTGAGTAAAATAAATAGACTATTAAACATAGATTAATAACGATATAGATATAACACTAGATTTCGTCTTTTCAAGATTTAGAGGTTTTTCGTTCACAATAATCCTGAGGCAGAAGCCCAAAGAAGTTACGCGCGTGCTCTCTCCCTTTCATTCAACGCAGCGTGCTCGTAACTCCTTTGGGCTTCTGCCTCTTGGTTAAAGTGCACGAAATACCCCTAAATCTGTATTGTTATTAATTTATGCCATTAAATGAATATAAAGTATTTATTATTGTAAAGATATTCAGATATTAATGAAGGGAATAAAAACTTCCTGCTAATTGTGCAATAAAACTTTTATTGATAATGAGCTTAAAAACTGAAGAAAACCGGAAAATAAGTTTAAACTTTAGAGTCAGAATATTATAATTTATAAATTCATATTCTGTGTTTTATATCGTGTTAATTAAGAATTATTTAATATTTCAAGTTACAAATAAATGACTTTAGGATTACAACAAACCTATCTTACCGTTTAAACCTGTTCCTGAGACCCCAGAGCCCGAAATTTAAAAGAGTATCGTTGAACGAAACTCCCGAGTTTCCTTTTTGGGGTCTTAACATTTTGTAGATTTGATTTAAGAGATTCGACAAAAATGGAAAATGTGAAGAAACTAAATAAAAAAAATATTTCATAACAAAAATATTGATATCCACAAAACTGTCTAACCCCATTCTTGAAACCCGGGTTTCAAAACTGGTTTTCATAACGATACCCTATTTTAAGTTTTGGGCTCGGACTGTACAGTGTACACCTCTCCCGGCTTTCTAGTGAATTTATTGGTGTTTTTGATAATTTTAATCATTGCATCCGAAAATATCAATGAAATATAGTCTATTTATTGTCTTTGTCCAATAAACATCAAAACGGCTGAACCGATTAGCTTATATTTACTACTCGGACGACGACAGGGAAGGTTTATGAACGGTTTAAATTTTGCTTGTAAAAATGTTGATTGTTTTATTTTATAAATCCTATCAATAAATATTTTCAAAAAAATGACCGCTTGAAAAGTAACATTATACACTTAAATTGTTGCCAGGACAGGGGCGCGAGGCGCCCTGTAATCCAATTTAATCTCTTTAAAATGGATTGGATTTACAGTTTTATATACATTAATATAATTTTGTTCAATGTTTTCTTGGCTAGATTAAAAAACAAGCCGACTTACCCTAAACTAAGCTTTCGGTGCGTTCTGCACCAGACTACACAGACTGCTCATAAACTCTACTTGGATAGGCTGAGCAGCCCTATAGTGTCCTGGCACGCCAAACTACGGTTCCATGTAATGTTTTTTGACTGACATCTGACGGCCACTTGTTGCATTTAGGGGTTAAGTTTTACAACTTTTAAAGAAATACTCCAATTCTAAACATAAAACATAACGTTTATGAATATTGTCTATTTTCAAAGATTTTGCATTTCCTATTCAAAGGATCCTTAAATATCACTGAATACAGATGTCCCCTGATTGGTCATGTACACTGTACAGTACTTGTACACAATAGAACATGCTGTGGAAAATATCGCATATTTTAGGTGTTAATCTATCTCTGTAACTCTCTCATCTCTGGTTCTACAGAAAAAGATATAGTAACGTATAATGGACGTTCTTTGTATTTTTCTATTCCGGGATATATATTATTGGACACACTGTCAACATTTGGTTATTTTACTTTTAATTATATTTACATTGGATGTTGTCATGTTTTTGACAGATACCAGCAAACTTTATATTGGCTTTCCACACTGGGTTAAAAGTAAACTTTTAATACTTGAAACCCAGTCAGTCGAAGTGTCATTTTTCTCCAATTTTTAGTAAAATGTTTTTAATTTAATCGTTCTTTGGTGCGCAAATGTTCTAAAACGGAAAAGGATGAGGACTGAACACATAGTCTAAAACGAAGGACATATTGTGCATTTATTTGAAATAAATCCATTTTTATTCAGTGTTTAACACTCCATAGAATTACATATTTAATGAAATGTGGTGTCTTCGTGTATGCATGAAATGTCATTTAAATGTTAAGCAGTAACCAGAGGAACTTCAACTGCTGGATTATTTACGAGACAGAAAACAGTTTTCAAGAAGATTTTCTTTACATTTGAGGGGGTTCCAGGCCTATACAGGGGTATTTATGAGTGACTTTAGAGATGCATTATGCAAATTAAATATGAATTTTTGTATAGCTTGAACTTTTACAATAGTGCTGTGAGGAAAAAGAGAGAGAAGGAATAGACCTATCATCCTCATCCTCATCCTCATCCTCATCCTCATCCTCATCCTCATCCTCATCCTCATCCTCATCCTCATCCGCATCATCATTTAATTATTGTCAAATATAAGATAAGAAAAAGTGGATGTAAGATATGAGAAGGTGGTTGATAAAAAATTAAAGAGATGCGAAGTTGTTGATTTAACATGAAAGAGATTAGAAGATGGTTGATGAAAGATAGAAGATATGAGAAGATGGTTGATCAAAGATTGGATAGATGAGAAGATGGTTAATTAAAGATTAAAGAGATAAGAAGATGGTTGATTAAAGATTAAAGAAATGCGAAGATGGTTGGAAGAGATGAGAAGATGGTTGATCAAATATAGAATATATGAGAAGATGGTTGATAAAAGATTAAAGAGATGCGAAGATGGTTGGTTCAAGTTGGAAGGGATGAGAAGATGATTGATCAAAGATAGATGAGAAGATGGTTGACTAACAAAGGAAAAGAGATCAAAATGGTTAATTAGATAAAGGATGGATGAAAAGATGGTTGATAAAAGATGGAGAAGAGGGGAAGATGGTTGATAAAAGAAAGAAAAGATGAGTAGATGGTCCACAAGATGTGAAAGCGGAAAAGATTGTTGATACAAGATGGTCTATTAAAGATTAAAGAGATAAGAAGATCGTTTATTAAAGATTAAAGAGGTAAGAAGTTTATAAAAGATGGAAAAATGAGATGATGGTTGATTGGAGATTAATGAACTAAGAAGATTGAAGAGATAAGAAAATGGTTGATTTTGTTTGAATGTTAAAGCGATGAAAAGATGGTTGATTAAAGATTAAAGAAATGAGAAGAGAGTTTATGGAAGATTGAAGAGATAGGAAGATGGTTGATAAAAGATTAAAGAGATGAGTGGATGGTTGATAAGTAGATAGTAGAAAAGATAAAGATGAAAACTGCTACAGCTCGAAATTTGAAAAATAAATATATTCTCTGTGCCTCGTTAAATAGTTAATAAAAGCTCCCGGGATTTGTATTGAAATTATTCTTCACATAAACCTGAATATATTCAGGGTTTATGTTTTCATTTCAAACCATTTAACAGTTTTAAAAGAATTTCAATGCAAACAACAACCTATATTGAAATATTAATCATTGAACTTTAGATTTTTGGCAAATTAATAATTAATCAAAAACTGTTTTGCTAGTGTTACTATACTACACTATTTTTAGCAAAAGTAAAAGTGAATTAGAAATACCATTTTTCAAAATATCGATTAAAATAAGAATATATAAAAATGGTTTACAATGAATTTCCCCCTTTATAAAGTTTATGATCTAGAGAAAATTCATCTGTTTGTATGAAGAATTTGTGCCCCTAAATAAGAAAAGGAATTGAGTCTTTGCCACAAACTTAAAATTTCCTCGCAACCTGATGGTGTAAACCTGTGATATTTCAAACAATAAATTTTTGATCTAAGGTCTACGTCATTGTGTAGCAAAGATATAGGGTTTAGTCAGGGCCAAATGGGAAAATATTTCATCAAGAGCCAAAAAAAATGTTCAGACTTTTTCTGTCTTTGCTGTCTCCTTCATAAAGCTCTTCAATAGAAAAAGCTAATGGAAGAAAAATGTTTTTAAAACTTTCTTTTCTCGAAAAATATGATTAGGGAGGATTCCAAGTTCAGAAATCCTTTTGTTTTTCACAAACTTTGTGACAAATAAAACAAGTAGGTGTGCAACTCATGCTTGAAGCAGAATTTGACGAATATCATAGTTTGGTGTAAAATCTTGATTTTAATCAATGCTTTTAACAAATAAAATTATCCAATGACATATCCCGTATATACTGGATATGTCAGAGCTTAGACAGTACAGAATATGTCCGGGTCTTTACACTACAATACAGGATACGTCCAGGTCTTGCCAGTACACAATATGTCCGGGTCTTTACACTACAGTACAGGATATGTCCAGGTTTTGACAGTACAGGACATGTCCGTGTCTTGCCAGTACAGTACATGTCCGGGTCTTTACACTACAGTACAGGATATGTCCTGGTCTTTACACTACAGTGCAGGATATGTCCTGGTCTTTACACTACAGTACAGGATATGTCCTGGTCTTTACACTACAGTGCAGGATTTGTCCTGGTCTTTACACTACAGTACAGGATATGTCCGGGTCTTTACACTACCGTACAGGATATGTCCGGGTCTTGAAAGTACAGAATTTATGCGGGTCTTAAAAGTACAGGGTTCATCAGGGTTTTAACATGACAGGATTTATTCAGGTCTTTACAGCCGGAGATATGTTAAGCAATTCGTCCCACATTTTCATGTTTGGTTGATAAAACAATAAATGGCGGAAATGAAAAGTTATAATTAATCGGAAATATTTCATGAACAATAATTATCTTTATTCTGCAATCAATATAGACAAGGTTTAAACTATCAACTAATAATTAGACAATAGTTTATATAGCTTATTTCATGAACAACAATTATCTTTATTCTGCAATCAATATAGACAATAGTTTATATAGTTTATTTCAGGTTTAAACTATCAACTAACAATTAGACGTTTTCACACGAATAATTGTTATAATAAAACTATATTGGGATCTTAATTATTTACTTCAGTAATTATTTGCATTCAACAGGCTTCGATGAAATAAAATAAAAAGTTTGTAGAAAATATAAAATAGTTTTCATGGCAACTCTGCATAACAATAGTAAAACTAACCTTTAAAAAATCTGTCAAACTTTGTAAATAAGACAAATCATAGATTCAAGTTTAATGTGTATAATTTCTTTATCTATTGTACACGTGCAGTGTTACCTATATGGAATAAGACTTCAGAGACAAGAGATAGGAATTTGCACTTTTCCTTTATCTCATATTCGTCGTCCTTTAAATATTTCAAGTCGTCTTTGCAGTCTTATCCTTTGTGGGTAACCCTGTCCGTTTGCAGAAAAGAAATACATCGGGAGTAACTCACCATCTAATGCTTTTTATCATAGTATAAAAGTTTTTTAAAGTGAGAAAATTATTGCCATTTCCGCTTAAAAGCAAGAATAAGAAAATTTGTTAACCCATTAAAACCATAAACTTATGGTTGTAAACTTGTTTAAGGTGGTATCGACAAATTAAATACTTAAATCTAGGATTCACACCTTTTTTTTGTTCCTTTTGTCAGATAAAATTTCCCTGAAATTTTTCTGATAATATTTAAAATGTTTCATTTCAGAATGATATAAAGATGGGAAAAGTTCGAATCTTGTTTCATCTTTGTCTTTTCCAGATTCTTCTCAAAGGTAATAGAAGTACACAGTTCACAGTACACAGTTTTAAGTTCACAGTACACAGTTTAAAGTTCACAGTACACAGTTTAAAGTTCACAATTGAACAGTGCATATTACACAGTGCAGTGTATCTCTATTTTCATTGCTCATAGAACACTGAACACAGAACACAATAGACCCTTCTCAGAACACAACTTACAGTAGTATAAGCCTGGATAGTGTAGTGGTAGCAACCAATACTATTCTAGAATGTAGCAGTAGTATTAGCCTAGATGCTGTAGTGGTAGCAACCTACACTATTCTAGAATGTAGCAGCAGTATAAACCTGCTTTAGTAGTAGCAACCTAAACTATTCTAGAATGTAGCAGTAGTATAAGCCTGGATACTGTAGTGGTAGCAACCTATACTATTCTAGAATGTAGCAGTAGTATAAGCCTGGATACTGTAGTGGTAGCAACCTATACTATTCTAGAATGTAGCAGTAGTATAAGCCTAGATGCTGTAGTGGTAGCAACCTATACTATTCTAGAATGTAGCAGTAGTATAAGCCTGGATACTGTAGTGGTAGCAACCTTTACTATTCTAGAATGTAGCAGTAGTATAAGCCTGGATACTGTAGTGGTTGCAACCTATACTATTCTAGAATGTAGCAGTAGTATAAGCTTGGATGCTGTAGTGGTAGCAACCTATACTTTTCTAGAATGTAGCAGGAGTATAAGACTAGATGGTGTAATGGAGGCAACCTATACTATTCTAGAATGTAGCAGTAGTATAAGCCTGGATACTGTAGTGGTAGCAACCTACACTATTCTAGAATGTAGCAGTAGTATAAGCCTGGATGCTGTAGGGGTAGCAACCTATACTATTCTAGAATGTAGCAGTAGTATAAGCCTGGATACTGTAGTGGTAGCAACCTATACTATTCTAGAATGTAGCAGTAGTATAAGCCTGGATACTGTAGTGGTAGCAACCTATACTATTCTAGAATGTAGCAGTAGTATAAGCCTGGATGCTGTAGTGGTACCAACCTACAAGCTAAGGGGGGATAATGCTACACTTCTTTGCAAGTAAGTGTTATTTAAATATTTCAACCAAATATTAATGAAGTTAAGGAAATTGACTTTTTGGCTGGATAGTTCATTTTGAATAAAATGTGCAAGATTTGAAAAAAGGCAATTAGTGTTACCAGTTTTTAAGTGAAATCGCTCTGTGTTTACTGCACAAATGTGAATTTCATGTTCATTTGACTATTTAAAGTTATTACTTGAGTCTAACAGTCGTCTGTTCCACTGTATGGGTTTCACTGTATGTAGAAACTAGGAACTAAAGGAACTTAAAAATCTTTTCTATCGCTGTTTAAGAACAATAAATTTTTCCAGTTGCGGCGACCACAAAATTGCAATGTGTTCCAGTAACCGAATTAAGTAGGGTTACCCACAAAGGTTGAGACTTTAATGAATGAAACTCTAAAATTTTAATGGCCTGAAGATTTAATTTGAGTTTCAGCCTTATGTTTGGTCTTTTGATTGCATATTCTATAATTTGGAAAGGAACGTAACACGTTTATATCTGCAGGGAACCTTGGATGTAGCTGAATGAATTATGTACAGTCGTCTCTGAAGTATTATTGTTTGTGGGTAACCCTGTATGTCACTAAGTACATTTCTTCTTAGCACTACAATGGTTGACCAGCTGACGTCTAATTATCTATCTAGTAAATAGAGTGAGATAATTAGCCCTAGCGGCCAAACTATCTTCCCCCAAAGTACGTTTTTGGGACGGATCTTGTTCATCAGTTCGTTGGAAAGGAACGGCCTCTGTACACAGAGTAACACTAAAAAGCGAGTTGTTTCATTTTATTTTTATTTAAACAACTAAACCAATGCTTCTGTGCCCTGTATTAACTGTACAGCTAGTTATTACTAATATTATATAATTATTTCTATTATGTTTTAGTTACCGAACTAAACCTATGTCACTGTACAGTTTAAAGTGGTATAAGGATGAACAGGAGTTCTACAGGTACTGTTTTGTGTTTATAACTAACCTGACCTAGGGTTCAACAGCTTGTTTTTTTCTCGAGAAAATATCACTAATTTTTGTTTTATTGAACCCACTCTCTTCTATATTGTTTAAAATTATAAACGGATTCTTTTCTCTACGTAGCTTAATTCTTAGAGAATAATAAAACATACAATTTAACTCGATATATTTTTCAATTGATAAAAATCAAATTTAAAACAAAATGGAGTGTTCGCGAAAAATGAAAGGGGCTATAGGCTTAATGAGATAAAAAGCGCTTTTGATCGCTTCTAATCTTACTGCTGTTGCGTCTATAAAGAGAAAATTGTTAAAAACGACTCACACCGAAGAACGTAGCGTCCATACAAATTCGGAAAGATGCAACATTCAACTCGGATCGTAAACAAATCAATTTAATTCCCACCAAATCATTCAGATATTACAAACAGCAGTCATCGATTATTTTTCGACGCATTCGTACATAGTTAATATTTCATATTATTTTTGATTTTTTTAAAAATAATTTTCGCTGGCGCTGGATTTTCGAACATTTCTGGAAAATATGAAAATGTCGTCTTCATTATCAAGAAGCTTCGAAACAGGAATAAATGTTTTCAATAGTAACTGTCAGATCATGAAAAATACAAAATATTATGAAATATCAACTATTTACGAATGTGTCGAAAAATAATCGATGACTTTTGTTTGTAATAGATAGAAGTAAGTTTAGTAGCCATCAAAAGCGCTTTTTATTGCATTATACCCCCTTTTAATTTTTCGCGAACACTCCCTTTCAGTAACAAAGATAAATGAAGATTTTAAAGAAAAATTACAGTAAAGGGTTGAATTTCTAAAACTGTACGGTGTAATGTTCCATACATACTGGTGCAGTGTTGTAACCAGTCTCCTTAATGGTTTTCAATTCAAGTTTTCAAGTTTGCAGATTGTGATAAGAATTGTTTAGAAATCTGACCAGGGTTCATTTTTAAAGATTACAGCATGATCTAAATAACTTTTTTTTTCAATATAACTTTATATCATGGTGAAAATACATCATTAGGTCTCCTCATGTACTCTTTTTTTCGATTCTATGGAAAGTTTTCTGAATGAAAACTTCTTTTGTAAAACATAACTTATCATATTACACACAGTTTCACCTTCTGATAACACCGTTTCTAACAATCGGGTTTCCAGTAATCATTAGTAAAGATATGGTTACGGATACTAGAATTATTTTTGATTACAAGCTGAAGTACCCTGCTTAGTCCGTGGAATTTTTTTTGATTTTGAGAAAAAAAGATTTTGGAAAAAATGATTTTAAAAAACAATTAAATTTTTTTTTGATTTTTGAGGAAAAAAATGTCAAATTTTTTTAGCCTATGTTACTCCCCAGGCATTCATGGGTTTTCTCAACTACTAAAATGATTTTTGATTACTAGATGTAGTGCCCAGCGTTGTCCGTGGATTTTTTTTATTTCAAAAAAAAGAAAAATTTTGAAAGAAATGATTTTAAAAAAATATTGAATTTTTTTTTTGATTTTCCAATAGAAAGAATGTAGAATTTTTTTAGCCTATGTTACTCCCCAGGCATTCATGGGTTTCCTCAACAAATTTCAACCCATTCGGTCCAGCCGTTTTGCCAGCCAAAGCTAACAAATATACAAACAAATATATATGAGCGAAGATCTTTATTATACAGATGATAGATTATTGCAAAATGAACTTGCTACTTTTAAATAAAAATGATATCACCGAAAGTGTAAAAACTAAAAAATATCTGAAAGGTTTAAAAAAAATTAAAGGAAAGAAAGATAAAACTTACATTTATTTCTTCACTTTAGGTCGTGTACATACTGAACAACATTTATAAGTTAAAAGGGTGTATATAGGCTCGTATGTGCGCGCGTAAATATTCAAGGTTTGCAGAACAATATATGTTTAAAGGGTAAACCCAGGGAGTAAGGAATAGAAGGGAGAGACAACTGACACGGTTCGCCCTACCATATGATTATACATGCTTTGCAGACGGTACTCCATTTTATATCGAGCTGTTTGGTTTCTTTAGTAGGGCCCTTACAGGAAAAATATGTATTGGCGAAACTGGTGAAAGAAAATTGAGCCAATACATATTTTTCCTGTGGGGCCCTACTAAAAAATCAAACAGCTCGATATAAAATGGAGTACCGTCTGCAAAGCATGTATAATCATATGGTAGGGCGAACCGCGTCAGTTGTCTCTCCCTTCTATTCCTTACTCCCTGGGTAAACCTCCAAGAATACACAGATGCAGTATTTTAAAATGCTGCATATCACTTTTTATAAAACATGACCAATCACTTCAAAATTAATAATTTTCAATATTTAGATTTGAACCTTGGAATATCAACAGACAGGAACAGAGTTTTCCAGTAAAGGGAATCACAGTCGACGTAAGTATATTTCCAAAACAGTAAAAATTGCTGAAAATATTCTACTCTTTCTCCTTACATTTCATGCACTGGTCAGGCACATCTTATTAACATTGCCAAATGTTGTTTAATGTTTCTAATTATTGTCCTTTAATTTATTTTGATAGAATATCACTCGTCAAACCCAGTTTTTGCAGTGCAGGCACAATTTTGAATATTCATGTACATAGTTTGTATTCGAGTTGTTACGAAACGTTGATTAATAAAATCAATAAAACACGATTTTCAAAAGCTTCAAACCATTTTTTGTGTAAAAAAAACACGGTTTATTTATCGTTTGATCCATCCTGCAATAGACGCATAAACATGGTTTTACGGCAGCGCGCTTACCTGGATCGCTTCCTGTCCGCACCCAATTTGTTTTCCGGTAAAATGCCTTTACTTTTATATGTGTGGGGAGTTTGGGGTGTTTGGGGAGTGTGGAGTGTGTGGGGAGTGTGAACTGTATGGGGAGTGTGAACTGTATGGGGAGTGTAGAGTGTGGGGAATGTGGAGTCTGCGGGGAGTGTGAATAGTGTTGGGAGAGTGTGGATTGTGTGGGACTGGGAGTGTGTGGAGAGTGGAGGGACTGTTTCTGTTTTCACTAATCAAAAAAGGCAAATTACTTTGTCATTTTCCTTGCTAAAACTTTCGGAAATTCAAGAAAATTGCACTCACTAATAGAAATTTTTGAAATTCGATTCAATCCTATTAGTTCTATGTCCCTGACAGAGAAATTTCGGTCGCTTTCTCAACTGATAAAATCAAGCACCAAGTTTTCTGGAATATGACGAGATGATATTCCATCAATTTATTTCTTTAGATCGAAATAAATTCTGCACCTAAATAAAGAACTCTGACTATGGATTTTTTGAACAAGCATGATGAATGACTAAAACTTTTTTAGACTTTCTCAAACTAAAGTCATTCATTAAAAATATTTCGTTACACAGAAGTATAATGTAGAATTCTTAAACAAACTTTTTTATTTATTAATTTTTATTGTTTATAAATTCAAAATGTTTGAGAATTTGCGTCCAAGAGATTTTTACTTCGAATAAAATAATGGAAAATGTTAATTGAAATTAATAAGGGCATATTTTGAGCTCTAATTTGAGCTAATTAGTTTTCATTTTTAACTAATAGTTAAAAATACTGAGAACTTTTAGTCTGGTGAAACCACGGAGAATAATCCAAAATATAATGTTTCTATTCCATTGGCAAATATTCAATAAAAAATATTCAAAAAAAAAATAACTAGTAGTTTATGCATTTCAGTAAAAGCACGAAAATTATAGTTTCAGAAAACGTTAAACATGAAATTAAAAATTTAATTTTCATTAATGTTGACATAACAACTTTAGGCTCGGATATCTACAAGTACCATGATCTCGATATGTTGAAAAAATTCTATATTTCTATTATCAAAACTAAATATCAACATATAAACTCATAAACATTTTCAGTTCGGTTTTATTTTCCATCCCTACTTCTAACCATCTATAATTCTATTTCCGGTTATATTTTCCATCTATTCTTCGAAACATCCATAATTCTATTTCCGGTCATATTTTCCCTCCATTCTTCTAATCATCCATAATTCTATTTCCGGTTATATTTTCCCTCCATTCTTCCAACCATCCATAATTATTTTTCCGGTTGTATTTTACCTCCATTCTTCTTAACATCCATAATTCTATTTCCGGTTAGATTTTCCCTCCATTCTTCTTAACATCCATAATTCTATTTCCGGTTATATTTTCCCTCCATTCTTCTAACCATCTATAATTCTATTTCCGGTTATATTTTCCATCTATTCTTCGAAAATCCATAATTCTATTTCCGGTTATATTTTCCCTCCATTCTTCTAACCATCCATAATTCTATTTCCGGTTATATTTTCCCTCCATTCTTCCAACCATCCATAATTCTATTTCCGGTTGTATTTTACCTCCATTCTTCTTAACATCCATAATTCTATTTCCGGTTAGATTTTCCCTCCATTCTTCTAACCATCCATAATTCTATTTCCGGTTATAATTTCCCTCCATTCTTCCAACCATCCATAATTCTATTTCCGGTTGTATTTTACCTCCATTCTTCTTAACATCCATAATTCTATTTCCGGTTATATTTTCCCTTCATTCTTCTAACCATCCATAATTCTATTTCCGGTTATATTTTCCATCCATTCTTCTAACCATCTATAATTCTATTTCCGGTTATATTTTCCCTCCATTCTTCTTAACATCCATAATTCTAGTTCCGGTTATATTTTCCCTACCTACTTCTAACCATCTATAATTCTATTTTCGGTTATACTTTCCCTCCATTCTTCTAACCATCCATAATTCTATTTACGGTTATATTTTCCCTCCATTCTTCTTAACATCCACAATTCTATTTCCGGTTATATTTTCCCTCCATTCTTCTAACCATCCATAATTCTATTTCCGGTCAACAAACTCAAACCTTTGCAAAACAAAGAATCATCAAAACAGTTGAAAAATAGAATCTAAAACTCTCTGTCTTGAAGTAAGAAAATATATCGTAATATACTAAAACTACTATTACTAAACTTTCTTTCTCCCTTCAAGTGAATTTAGTTAAGTGTAACATACATTTATGAAACAAAGACAGGCAATATTATTTCTCTATAACGGAACTGAGTTCTTGCCACACGCTCTGATTTTTTGATACCGTTCCTCTGCAACCCGACCTTTATTAATTCAATTTATAAATTCTGTTAGATTAATACTTTGAAATATCAAAGATTTTGACCATCAGGTTGCAATGATATAGGAATTAGGAAAATTGAGTTTGTGGTAAAATCTTAATTTTTTTGTATGTTTGTATAGATGGGTGAGAGTGAGCCGTCTAAAATCCGTTTACGAAAAGTAAACTTTATGTCGAGCGGAATCTACAGATGCGAGATTACTTCGAAAGATTTCGAGATTTATGAGAAGTATGAACAAATGACCGTTATAGGTGAGAAATTATTCTGTTAACCCTAGATGATGGTCTGGAGATAAGTATAACCTTGTGAGATATGGACTTTTAATTTTTTTTCAAGACCATTTAATATTTTTACATTTTAAAAACTCTAAGTGCTATGGATAACGGTGTTAGGAGATGGAGACATAACTGCGAAAAATACTTTGGCTAATAACGTAAATTAAAGTTTATTCTTTTATTTTTGAAAAATATTGACATGAAAACCATGTTTCCAAATACATTCTCAGTGGATTTCAAAACATTTTAAAAAAGGCTCACGTAACTCAGCTTTTTCAAGTTATTGCTTTTCTTTTCTTCAATTTCTAACATTCTATGCAACACACCCGAGCAAGAATATGGCAGGGGTTCGTCCCAATCAATAAAGAAAAAAATTCTTCCTTTTTTTAAATTTCCTTATTTAGTCATCAAATATGCCTTTTGGCTCTAATTTTATTAAAAAGTCATTGAATTGAATAACTGTTTGGCATTAATTTATCTTGTGTAGAGCTTCCTAAGAAGGCTCCAACAATTACTACGATCAACGGAATAAAGCAGTACGAGGTAATCTATAAACTTTTCTATAGGATTAATATTTTTTTAAATCACGTGATATGCTTAGTTCATCAAATTTATAATAATTCATATTTGAATGTATTTATTTATTCATGTTATTGTGTTTTTATGATTTAGTATCAACCCTTTTATTTATTGCTCATTCATATTCTAATTTTATATTTGTGTTGATACATTAGATACTCGCACTATATTTCATTTTCTTATAAGAATTATTATAGGGACTGTAAATGAAAAATGAAGGGGTATAGGATGAAATCTGAGAATCTCAGGGGTTAATAGAGACCTATAAGACTTCTCTCTGATGTTCCTGACTCGTTAAATTATCATTAAACTCTGTCAAAATTATATCGAAACGTATATATGTAAGATATACGACCGTATCACGTGACCAGAACTCCCTCCAATAGCAATACAGTATACTGGTCACGTGATACAGACGGAGACATGTGACAATAATACTGCACTGCCATTGGTTGAAATTTTATCTATTAAAAATGAAAAATCATTAAATTCAAATAATAATAGGAGCAAACCTGAGTTTCTCGTGCTCCTCTGGGATATTGGTTGCGTATTTGTTGAATATGATCTGTTTAATGCTACGAATCTTACACAAATCTTACATAAATACGTTTGGTATAATTTATAGGTCTCAATCAACCCCTGAGATTCTCAGGTTTCAGCCTATACCCCTTTTCATTTTTCCTTTACAGTCCCTTTAAACATTGGTTTGCTTTCAACTTCTATTTAGATTAATTGTAAACTATAATTCTCTTTTTTCTTCCATTTATCTTTTTTTTGCAGTGACTTAAAACTCTTTTTATGTTTTGGGGAGTTTAAAAATAGAATAAATTGTTTGAGCTGTTCATTAAATTCTAATATTTCTCTTTTTCCAGAATAAAATATTTTAAATCTTTCCCCCCTTTCCAACAATTTTTCATATTTCGGAAGAGAATTTAACAATTTATTTCAATTTCTGGCATATATCTTTAGTATTTATATTCCTAGGCGAGGTTTCAACAATATAACATCATATAGCAGCAAATATAGATTAAAATTATTCTTCAAACATTCAAAAAAAGAAATTCAGGGTGACAGTTTGAAAAAATTTCAAAAAATGACCGCGTTAAAGCTGTATAAAAAATTGGGACCCCCTGTAGTTTATTGAACCCGTGTATATCATCCCAACTACGACAGGCTCATGGGACAATGCATCTAACATTCTAAAGTTAAATTCCACATGAACAGCGTGTCCAAAAAAACAAGGATAGAGAGTTCTCCCTTTCATTTGAGTTGATATGGCAAATCTTGATCGAAAATTCGTACATGTCAGTTTGCTCTGACATACTTCAGCTGAACTGGCTGTTTAAGTATTGGATATTTTAAATTATCAGGTCAGTGACATGCTCCAGCTAAACTAGCTGTATATGTGTATTTGTAATTAATCAAGTTGGAGACATACTCCAGCTAAACTAGCTGTACATGTATATTTGTAATTAATCAAGTTTAAGACATGCTCCAGCTAAACTATATTTGTAATTAATCAAGTTGGATACAATCTTCAACTAAACTACTTGTAATTAAATAGGTTGGTGACATGCTTCAGTTGAACTGTACATCAGAGCCCTCAAACCCCGCAGCAGACTTGAAATGGGAAATAAATAAGGTAACATGCCTGAAAATACCAAAACTGAAAAATCATTTTTCTATCTTAAAGGAAATCTATATATATATAAATTGTTGTATAAAAATAGTAGGTTTAAACGGATCACATTTAGTAAATACGCAACCAATCTGAAAACACTGATATCCCAGAGGAGCCTAAGAAACTTAGGTTTGCTCCTATTATTTGAATTCAATATTTTTTTATTTTTAATAGATATATTTGATAATATAATAAATCCGTCCATATCTTGTGACCAGAACTACCACTAATGGCTGTGTAGTTAGTATACTGGTAACATGATACAGAGGAGTCCCGTGATAAGTCCTTTTAAGTTTATAAAAGATTCCTTAATAAATAAATTAAAATTAAAATGAATAAAAAAACAAAGTATTAAGAATTTAAAAAAAACAGACATAAAAATAATCTTTTGAGGAAGAAGATATTTTTACTTTTAACGTATTCTGTTTATTTGGCAAATTACCAAAATCTTTACAAAGTCAAATCAGAACTTCTAAAAACTAATATCATCAGTCCCAGAACGTGTTATATAACCTCTCAACAAAAAGATAATTCAACTTGATTTCAATAAAAATAAAAATAATCATTAAAATTTAAATATTCCCTTAACAATATGACGCAATTGTGATAAGTCTAAGTTAAGTTTAAATTCAACATTTCCTCGTTACAGAGCAAAATATTTTGTATTAATAGTGACAACTTTTATTCTATCTGTATTATAAAGCTTATCGCTTTATAATACACATGTTTATATATCTCTTTGCTATAGCTGGCAAAACGGCTTGACAGAATGAGCTGAAATTTGTTAAGGGAACCCTTGAGTAACATAGGCTAAAATATTTTTTTTTTCGAAATTCGATTTTAAAAAATTCCCCAGGCAACGCCCGGGCCCTTTAGTTAGTTATTAATAATTCACTTAAATTTTAACCTTTTTAATGCTTTTAACCTCATCGGATACTTAACGAACACTGATGCATCTATTCTTGTTTACAAATTCCGCCCAGAGAGAACTGGTTTCAATATGTACGCAGAGAATACGCAACTGCAATTAACCTTCCTTGCATTAATACCTTGGTTTAGTAAAATTCTTTCAAGCTAAATAGGCAGGGCGGTCCGCGTCAATGATCCTTCAATGGCTACCTGTTCTGTGGTTGGAATGTAATGCTTGTTTATGATCAGGAACTGGTTCCAGATCAGCACTACATCTTCAACGAGCAGATTGTGCACGGGAGGGAAGGGTATATCAAGATACAGTTTTGTCCAAAATTCTTGTAAAATTTTTCCAAAAACTTTGCCGGAGTTTAGTTTAGAATCCAGGAATTTTGGATTCGTTCACTTTGTCTTTGTAATTGAACAACTTATTTAAGACTTTTAACTTTTTAAAATTAAAAGATTGGTTTTTTTTTCATCCAGGAACTCAATTTAATTAATTGGAGAGAGGTTCAAATCCTGAGTCACCGATTCAAAGTTGAAGGTTCATGAGGAAATGAATATCTCCATGATTCAGGATTTGAACCGGCTGTAGGTAGTTCAGTGATCTCTCCGATGCATTTTATTCGGTCCCTGGTAATTTTGTCTCTTTTAACAGATGTGTAACTTTTCATTTCTTACAGTTGAGTTACTAATCACTTTTGATGACAATATAAAATGCTGAAGTAAGATTCAATTTTAGGATTAGTTATAACTTCTATGCTACAAAGCTTCACTTTGGTAAAGGAGTCTTTGCCACAAACTCTGATTTTCTAATCCATATGTATTGCAATCCAATATTTCGTGCTATGAACTCTATTTATCAAATAATATAGGTTTGAAATATCAAAGGTTTACACCATCAGGCTGCAAAGATATGTGGTTTAGAAAATTTGAGTTTGTGGCAAATACTCAATTCCTTTAATTTTAAAATGCTTTCACTAAACGAGATGTTAATATCTGAATACCCGGCGCTTAGGAAACTGTATGTGAGCAGGATAGGTCTTCAGATTAGGCTTAGTCCAAACCATTTCCATTGGGGGAAACTCAAGGTAATATCATAAACAATCAATCTATCAATAAATCAATCAATTAATCAATCAATCAACCAACCAACCAACCAACCAATCAATCAATCAACCAATACATCGATCAATCAATAAATTAATTACGTCAGAGGAATCAAGCAATCATGTAATAAATCAGTTAATCAATAAATCAATGAGTTAAGAAATGGCTGAAAATGAATCAATCAATCGATTAACAATCAATTAATCAATCAATCAATCAGCAATGACTGAATAAATCAATCAATCGATTAACTACCAATTAATCAATTAATCAATCAGCAATGAATGAAGAAATCAATCAGTAAATTTTCCAATCGATAAAACTCATTCTGAATATCGATCAGTATCATTATATACAAAGCTGCTTTCTTAATGTGAGCTGCTTCAGCCTTCAGAAGAAAAAGATTCAGCCATTTTCCTCTTTTTGTTGAAAGGCGCTGATTAAAAAATGTAAGGAAATTACACAAGAAGTAAAGTTTAAAGGAACAATATTTTTTTTAAATGATAAGATTTTGGAAATATTTTCTTGGTTCCCTTAAACAACAAATTATTAATTTTCAAAGATATTAATTAATATTAGATAAGTAACAATCAATAAATCTTCTAACTTTGGTCCTAACTACAAATTTCATCAATTTGCTAATTAATCAAGAATGTAAATTGTTTCATTGATATAAGTTAATGGCAAAATGAACAATTAACATAAGGGAAAATAAACATTCGAAATGTTCGGAAATATGAACATTGGGAAACATGAACATTTTAATATTTGAAAATATGAACTTTTGGGAATAAAAATTTGGGAAGTTGCAAGCTGATGCTGAACGTTTTTAAAATGATTTTATCTTAAAGGGAACTTTTAAAAAGGTTAATTTTCATAAACGTTCCACAAAATTACTCGAGAATTTCCATATTTGGAATTTGTCACTGAGTAAAGGCAGATTTCTAGGCTGATTAATGTTCCAGGTTGCTTGTATTGGGAGATCAAGGCTGATAACTAATTACTGTTCCAGGTTGCTTGTTTTAGGAGATCAAGGCTAATAACTGATTAACGTTCCAGGTTGCTTGTATTGGGAGGCTGATAACTGATTAATGTTCCAGGTTGCTTGTATTGGGAGGTCAAGGCTGATAACTGATTAATGTTCCAGGTTGCTTGTTTTGGGAGATCAAGGCTGATAACTGATTAATGTTCCAGGTTGCTTGTATTGGGAGATCAAAGCGGATAACTGATTAATGTTCCAGGTTGCTTGTATTAGGAGATCAAGGCTGATAACTGATTAATGATCCAGATTGCTTGTATTGTGAGGCTGATAACTGATTAATGTTCCAGATTGCTTGTACTGGTGAGATCAAGGCTAACAACTGATTAATGTTCCAGGTTGCTTGTATTGGGAGATCAAGGCTGACAACTGATCAATGTTCCAAGTTGCTTGATTGAGAGATTAAGGCTGATAACTGATTAATATTCCAGATTGCTTGTATTGGGTGATCAAGGCTGATAACTGATTAATGTTTCAGGTTGCTTGATAAGGAGATCAAGGCTGATAACTGATTAATGTTCTAGGTAGCTCAAATTGGAAGATCAAGGCTGATAACTGATTAATGTTCCAGGTTGCTTGTATTGGTAAGATCAAGGCTTATAACTGATTAATATTCCAGGTTGCTTGTATTGGTAAGATCAAGGCTGATAACTGATTAATATTCCAGGTTGCTTGTTTTGGTAAGATCAAGGCTGATAACTGATTAATTTTCCAGGTTGCTTGTATTGGTAAGATCAAGGCTGATAACTGATTTATATTCCAGGTTGCTTGTATTGGTAAGATCAAGGCTGATAACTGATTAATATTCCAGGTTGCTTGTATTGGTGAGATTAAGGCTGATAACTGATTAATGTTCCAGGTTGCTTGTATTGGTGAGATTAAGGCTGATAACTGATTAATGTTCCAGGTTGCCTGTATTGGTGAGATTAAGGCAGTATTCTGGGCCCGTGGTGTAGAGAATATATATATAGAGCAACCAATTGAACAGTATAAAGTTCTAGAGTCAAGCGAAGGATACTGGATTGGTAATTTTATATTTTAAATTTTTGTCTCAAGTTTTTTATTTTAAATTTTGGAGGAAAATTCTGCAGCATTGATTTAAATGAAAGTTTTTCAATTTCAATTTTTGTTTCCAGTTTTGCACTTTCAAAATTGTTAAAATTTAGTTATGGTCTCAAGGACAGATGTAATCTTGTAACATAATCCAGCAAATATTGGTCTCAAGGACTGATGTAATCTTGTAACATAATCCAGCAAATATTGGTCACAAGGACAGATGTAATCTTGTTACATAATCCAGCAAATATTGGTCTCAAGGACAGATGTAATCTTGTAACATAATCCAGCAAATATTGATCTCAAGGACAGATGTAATCTTGTAATATAATCCGGCAAATATTGGTCTCAAGGACAGATGTAATCTTGTAATATAATCCGGCAAATATTTCTTGCTCCTAAAATTCATTGCGGGCAAATACAACTTGATCAAAGAGCTTTGGCTCCCTTATTGCCTATGGATTGACTGATTGCAAGGGACGCAAGTTCAAAACCGTGAATAAGTTCCAACCCTGACACTCAGTGTTAGGTCTAGGCCAAGTCACGGTTTGAAATTTGCGTTCCCTGTAATGCCTGTAGATTATGGAATGACTTTTTGGTCCGTAACAAAGTAAGCAGAGCAAAATCAAAATTTAAAAAATTATCATTTTTTCGCAATTTTTTCAAATTTTTCTATTTCAGCAAACAGTGGAGAGAAGCTAAGGTGTATTCTACTGATTCCTGCATTTTTATATTCAATCTTTTTGAAGATTTAATTTTCATTCTTTATTGTTCAGACCCATATAGTTTCCTATTCAATCATATACGTTTCGGTCCCTAACCATATCCTTTCCTGTTCGTAACCATATCCTTCCCTGTTCCTAACCATATCCTTTCCTGTTCGTAACCATATCCTTTCCTATTCCTGATTATATCCTTTCCTTTCCTAACCATATCCTTTCCTGTTTCTAACCATATCCTTTCCTGTTCCTAACCATATCCTTCCCTGTTCCTAACCATATCCATATCCTTCCCTGTTCCTAATCATATCCTTTCCTGTTCCTAACAGTATCCTTTCCTGTTCCTAACCATATCATTTCCTGTTCATAACCATATCCTTTCCTGTTCTTAACCATATCCTTCCCTGTTCATAACCATATCCTTCCCTGTTCCTAACCATATCCTTTCCTGTTCTTAACCATATCTTTCCCTGTTCCTAACCATATCCATGTCCTTCCCTGTACCTAACCATATCCTTCCCTGTTTCTAACCATATCTTTTCCTGTTCATAGCCATATCCATATCCTTCCCTGTTCCAAACTTACCGATTGATCATAATTATTCGCCCCCCCCCTCCTCCCCTTTTTATACAGTGATATACGGAAGTTTCAATTTAGATGATTTTTTTAATGAATTATTTTACCACCATTTGACAAACATTACCGACCCATAATCCCCCGGATTTAATACTAAGGCGGGATATTATTATAATTTATTGTTCCATTGGATGTTTTGAATTCCAAGGGTGATAAAATTATTCAGCTTTTTTTTGGGACAGATATAAAATTTATAAATGCCACGAACTGCTTTATCTTACTCAATTTTATATTCACGAATGTAAATAAATGTAAAAATTAAACAAATCTGAAGTATCTAAAAGAGCGTTTTTCAGCACCCAGAATAGGATAATTTTTTTGAAATTTTCTGTTAAAGTCGTCATTACACTATTAAGATAAAAAATGCTTGTATTTTATAATTTGTTTCTAAATTCTTAAAAAATGTATATTTATATACGTATAATATATAATATAGATATATCAAGCTTTTTACACATCAGATAAAATCTGCATGTGCCTTTTTAAATATGAACCTTTATTGAATTAACAAATAATGAAGGTTCTGGTAATTAAATAGAATACTTAGCTTTAGCGGTATAAGCAAACTATTCTAAAAATATCAATTTCACTATTTTTCTCAGTACGTTCTTCGAATAAGCAAATGAATGCAGCTTAAAGGGACAGTAAAGGAAAAATGAAAGGGGGTATAGTCTGAAAGCTAATCACTTTAGCTCTTGATCGCGACCCATGAAAGTCATATCTGATGTTCATGTCTGGAGAAACTGATATAAAACTGTTTCAAATATATACGAAAATTAATATATATACAATTTTGTATAAAAATAGTAGGTTTAAACAGATCATATTCAGCAAATATGCAACCAATCTGAAAACGATGATATCTCAAAGAAAGCTAATTGTAAATTAGGTTTACTTTTATATTTGTTATTTCTATTTTCAATAGATTTCATTCATAATATTATTTTTACGCCCTTATTTTTGACCAGAAATTCCACCAATGGCAGTGCAGTAAAGTGGTCACGTGATACAGGCGGAGTGACCAGTATACTGCTCTGCCATTGGTGATAGTTCTGGTCACGTGATTTAAGTTTCAGAATTTCAAAATTTTACATATATGAATTTTCGTATAATTTTAACACAGTTTTATATCAGTTTCTCGAGACAGGAACATCAGATATAACTTTCATGGGTCGCGATCAAGAGCTAAAGTGATTAGCTTTCAGCCTATACCCCCTTTCATTTTCCCTTTACTGTCCCTTTAAATTTTAAGGGAAAAGGATTTCAATTAATTTCTTTCATAATTTTTGGAAAATTTATCATCAGTGCCCCCTCCCCCCCTCCCCCCTCCCCTTTCCCGTTAGCATATTCAAAGCTACATTTGCTTTGTGTAAGAAAGAGGTGTTGATGCTTGATCAATGGAAATGTGTGATACTAAATGAACAAATTTAAGATTGTGACCAAAGTTGTTTTTGTCAAATTTCAAGTACAATGGTAAGCGTTTATAAATAATGACATGAAAAAAGAAGTCGTCTGTGTTGTATTGATATAAACGCTTACCATTGTACTTCAAGTTTTCTATATTGTTTTCCAGTATACATTTAACATATGTTATTATTTCAAATAGAGTTGATTTAGTTACTCATTTAAACTGTAGTAATTAGCGAAGTTCCGATTATAGCTTTAAGCGGATATAGATTCAGATGTTCTGAACATCAAACAAAAACTTTGAAATACTAAATGTTGAATTTTAAAATCCAAAATATCAATTAAAGTTAATTACTATTGGTTTTCAAAAATTTTGAATTGGATACGGAAATTTTGGACCATTCACCTTTTTATCCTTCTTTATAAAACTAATTTCTATAAACGTACACATACAATACACTTTTCTTCTTTTCAAGCTTTGACGCCCTGTAAAAAAAAAAAAATTTAAAGAAGATATAATTTTAATGGGTTCATTAATAGTATTATTATTATAATTTTATTATTATCATTTTTAGAGATGTATAATCTGTAATCAACCCTAAATGTTACTAATTGGGTGAATCGTACCTTGAATATAATTTTGAATGAAGATGAACTTTTCCCGATTATAATATTGTTATATTTAAAGTGTAAATAAATAAGTTATTTTTTATGAAAACTGTTATTTTTATGTTTTTTCTTCTCCGTCATTTGTATTAAGCAGAGCCCTCAACTACTTCTAAATTCTTATCATCTAATTTGTCCCCTAAAAAAGAATTCTGTACAGCACTTGCCTCTTTAAGAAATACCCCTGATTAATTTTAATACAAAATCTATTACAGAGAAAATATATAGAATTAAAATGTAAAGAAAAGGGGGTTTGGGCGCGGGAGGCGGGGGGTTGTTCACACTCTGCAGTGTACAATGTACAAGTTGGAAGGTGTTGGGAAGAATTGATTTAATTACAAACTATGTAATTATATTACAACCTCTTAGACATACACAATACTCATTAGAGGTTGGTCTAATATTTGATATTTTAATAGGATAACCAATAACAATTGAACAAGTTCAATTCAAACTGGGGAAAGTTTCCAAAAAGAAAATTCAGTTAAACTTTAGTTGTCAAATTTTACTGATTAAATACACATTTGGACCTTTCAAATATTGGATAATCTCATAAGATTCTGTACATCAAATAATTACTAAAAAATATTCTCCCATTGGAGCTCATTTAAAAATTGTTAAACCGAAGCAAAAACTACAGTTTGATCCGTCAAAAAATCATTATGGACGTTTTTAAATTATATTTTCTAAAAACTAAGGCTATGACTAAGTTACTGCATTTGATATGGAATACAATCGGGATATCAAGAGATACATGGATATAAGTTATGCATGCATAAGAACCAGTCCGAACTATAAGCTGTAAATAAATTAATATTATCAATGGATGGAACAACTCGTTGTCAAGTGGAGTTTAACTCTGCAAAAGTCGTGCCATAACTGCACGTTAAGACCGACTTTTGAACCAAGTTACAAACTGGGATTTAAAAGTCAAGTTGAGTTTTTTTTCTACCAGATTTCGCCCAGTTCTGCAATACCTGGGAATTAACACCAATTTTTGGACCAAATTACAGAAAAGAAATCTAAAAGTTGAGTTGAAGTCGAATTTTTTGCCTCCAGATTTCTCCCAGTTGGTAAGTAAACTTCAAAATGGGTTTAAAAGTCAATGTTAATGCCCAGTTCTGGCACGACTATTGCAAATGTTAACTCTACTTTGAAACTCGACAAAAACTGGGCAGTTAGAGTCTAGAGATAAATTGCAAATATAGAAATTAATCATGATATAAATTTAAGGGATTTCGTAAAGCACTCCCTTAACATGCAAGGGTGTCCTTATTAAAAGAGCTCGTGTTCCTTGGATGATGATGTTTCATATAAAAGTGCTTTGAAGTTTTTGCAAATATATATCAATCCATTGAGTTACTTAGTAATTACATATATTAGTAATTAACTTGATAACTACAGGGTGTCCCAAAAAAATGGGAATTCAGTTACGAATTCAATATCGTCTTTGTTATGAATTAGCATTGTAATACCCGATTTCAAAAACATAATGTTTATTATGTCTGCTAGAGTTTATTTTATGAAAACGGTGAATGGTTGTAAAGATGTGTCTATAATGTCTTTGCAAGATAAACAGTGAAAACGGACAAGTTTACTCTGTTGGTATACTGTAATTTTCTTGTTTTACTAAGTACAACCGTATGCAGTCAATACATAAACAAACAAATTGTAAACATAGCAGACGAAATTCTTTCGGATTACAGCTTTCTCAGTAGGTATCACTATACCAAATCAAAGAATTATATAAAAAGACGATATCGAATTCGTCACTGAATTCCCATGTTTATTGGGACACCCTGTACATTAATCATCATGAATTTGAGCTTATAGATATATTAATATAATATCGTATGGGACACCCAGTAATCATTTAGGAGAAGGAGGAAAGGAAGAGAAGTCCCTTGTTTGAATTGGAAAAAGAAAAAGTTTCCCCTAACAACCTTCAAAACTTCAAAAATATCNCCCCGTCTTAACTTATCTGTTCACCAATACAATAGTTGTGGTTAAAAATATAAAATATTGGCAGTGTTCCAATATAAAGCCTGGGGTAGAGTAATGAAATATCTGAAACAGTTCCTATAGTTTCCTCCAATTACCAGGATCCAAACCTTAATCCCCTCCTCATTCCCACACAAAAACTCACAATATCAAATAAAAGGAAAAAGATAAAGGGAAAATCAACTTGGAGCAAAAATAAAAGGAAAATCTTTTATTAGGAGGACTTTTAGTCTAAATCAAGCATCAATTTGTTTGTAATTAACATCCAGAAAACAAAGGCTTTATGGCTTTGTAAAAATAATACAATTTGTTTGCAATGTCCTCTGCATCTTATATGTCCAGTGTCCAGATTGATCTTAATGTAATGTCCTCTGCATGTTATATGTCCAGTGTCCAGATTGATCTTAATGTAATGTCCTCTGCATGTTATATGTCAAGTGTACAGATTGATCTTCATGTAATGTACTCTGCATGTTATATGTCCAGTGTCCAGATTGATCTAAGTTTTCTTGAATTTCATCATTTATATTCTAGGACGCTTCCAGCCACCCAGTACACTGCACCTTTAATAGTCTAACTTTAAGCAATTAACTCAAATTAAACTACATGTTAACCCCCCCCCTCCCCCCTCCTCCTTTATACTTTTCATTGAAGGAACAAAAGGATACAGTTACGTAAAAAAACATGAAATGAGCAGATTTCCAACAGATAGATTAGAGGGATTTCCTACAGATAGATTAAAGGGTTTCCTACAGATGTATTAGAGGGATTTCCTACAGATAGATTAGAGGGTATTCCTACATATAAATAAGAGGGATTTCCTACAGAAAGATTAAAGGAATATCCTACATATAGACCAAAGGGATTTCCTACAGATGGATTAGAGGGATTTCCTACATATAAATAAGAGGGATTTATTACGGATAGATTAGAGGGATTTCCGACATACAGATTAGAGGAATTCCTACATATAGATTAGAGGGATTTCCTACATATAGATTAGAGGGATTTTCTACAGATAGATTAAAGGGATTTCCTACAGATTGGTCAGAGGGATTTCCTACATGTAGATTAGCGGGATTTCCTATAAATAGATTAGAGGGATTTCCTACAGATAGATTAGATAGATTTCCTACAGATAGTGTTAAAGGATTTCCTGCAGATAGATTTGAGGGATTTCCTTTAGATATATT